GGTGCGACGTTGTCAGCTGGGCGGGTGGGACAAATTACTAAAACTGGCGTGCCCGCAGCAAGCACACGGCTTGCGGAGCGGATAATAAAGGCATGTTTTTGCGGCCCTCCTCACACAAGCATGCCTCCAGCCGAGTACCAGGCATATACAGCCGAGCCCGTCCAGGCACGATGCTGGACGGGGTTGGTCCCTGGAGCCGGGGGTGGGCACAGCCCACTCCTCAAACCCCGAGCAAAGCAAAGAGCTGCGACATGCCACATAGAAAATGGGTCCCGGGTGCTCCTGTTCACAGGGTAGCGATCACACTCCTACGTTTAATTCAGCAGGGTCAATCATTGCGCAGGTCGAACGTGTCTTAGGCCTCCACTCAGTAGTGCTGCAGCTGGATGATAAACTCGAACGTGTCTTAGGCCTCCACTCAGTAGTGCTGCAGCTGGATGAGAAACCCATTATGATGGTTTTCTGCTGACGCGGGGGGTTGATGTTGAGGATACAGCCGGCAAAGTTATTCAAAGACTATAATCCCTGTTGCGTCGTTCTACATCTGCTGCACCGCATAGCACTTGAGCTCGGGACTCGTCCGTGCTGAGGTTTCTTTTGTGCTTGGAACTGCTGATCTGGAGGGTCCAAGAGGAGAGTCAGTGACATGGCCGCGCTTTTGCCTGTTTGTTAGCTTGTCAGTGGTCTAAGTGAAGGCCACGAATCTGGTCTTCTTCTGGGGCTTTGGGACGAGACATGTGATGACCCTGTTAAACCATGAACTGTCACAAGCACTGTTTTCAAAGCATTTGCTTCCGCGATTGCGATAACTTTTTTACTTAGCTAACAGCCCCTCCTGACAACTACGAAAGTTGGCCAGGGTCGGTGTGGGGCTTCGGTTTCCACTCTTCGGAGCCAGGCTGGACAACTCCATGCAGCACCGCATTATTCCCCTCTTCCGCAAGGATCAGAGCGAGCAGCTAGGCACCGGGGCCACGAACAGTGTAGGGCAATGTGGGGAACAGGGGCCGGCAAGCACGGTTTAGGGATGTTTAGGGCTCAGGATTTAAGCAAAAAAGGTAGGGGATGTAGCATGGAATTGAGAATCTAGGATCCTGAAATGCAGTACAGCCTGGGCTATCATTATCCGACAACGTGGCGCGGGATGTGAATTTGCAAACATGCGCCCACTAAATGCCTTTCCTTCACCCTTGCTGGATCGTGAGTTGCTGCCCCCATGCGAAGGACACCGCACCACAAAGATGCCACAAATCTTTGCCCAAACCCAACACGAAATCAGAATGCCTGAGCAATCCTCTTGCCTCAGGTGGAGCCATGGGTTTCTTTGATCGAAGAGCGTGACGCCAAGCAGGATTTTTCTGAACCTGTCGCGAGCCTCTCAGTACGAGTCCGGTTGGACATGTGTGTGCCAGGGTGAAGCATAGTCTAGCATCGTGTGTCGATTCCTTGCCTCGGCGCAAGGCTTGTGAACTGCCTTGGCGGTGTTAGGATTGGGAACGCATCTAGTTGGGTTTAGTTTAGCAAGAGCCTCCAGCATGCCTGCAGCAGTGGAGCCAGCCAATGTGACGGAATCGTCACATGCTCAGTCAAGTCGATGCACTTTCGGCTGACAGCTCGACCACTCTCTCCCAGTTCCTCTGGTCGCCAAAGTTGTTGACCAGGCCGCTTGTCGACATTTGAGACAGCCCTGCCTGATGTGACGTCGAAACGGTGAAGTGTGACATAAAGCCGCGCAGAACACTTGAGATCATTCGTGCTGCTCCCTGCACACAGGCACGTCTTTGTCGCCACCAGGCGTTTCCTGTAGCCGATGTGCCTGATCAGGCCTGAGCTTTGCTAAATGATTCCTGACCTGGGTCTCATTGCAATGTGCCGAGTGAGCAAGAAAATGCTTGATGTGCACTCTTCGGGGCTGGGCCGGGGGTTGCCACTCCGCCAGTCGCAAACTCGTAAACCCAGACGGTAACCCAGAAATGCTTCGCGCCTCTGCAAGCAGATGCGGCTGTTGAGCCAAGGCGAAAGAGCTCCTGCGACGGGCGAGCTGCCATCGCGAGTACGGGAAGACAGCAGCAACCAGACGAAGTAGCAGATAGCAGGTCTTATGCACAAGAGCCTCAAAGGCCTGCCAACATTGCATGCTTTTCTCACTCGCGAGCCACTTCGTCAGCTGGACCGGGCAACAGGCAAACATAGTCTTGCTTACCTTGCATCAGCCTGCGCCATGAATGCAACCCTGCAACCCTCTTCGAAAGGTCGTGAGAGCCCGGTTGCAGTGGACAGGTTGGGAGGCGAGTGAGAAGCTGTTACTCCAGGGCTTGCCAGAAGATGTTAGCCGTTTCTGTAGTTTAGGCCATTGTAGGCGCTTGAGCGTTTGTGCGTTTGTGGAGAGCCGCTTTGCCAGTGGCCGGTTCACTCTTCAAATTATCTGCCTCAATAAGGCGGCGTCAGGATTTCTGTTTGGGACACAGAAGCTTTCGCTCTTCAGGTCCTTTACGGGTTTTGCGGACGTCCGATTAGGCCCCGGCATCCCTGCAAGGGGTTGTGGGCGACTCCAAGGTTCTGGGTGTTTCTGTACAGGCCCCAGGTTTTGCAGGGACGCACCTGCAATGGCCCGGACGACGGCTACGCGGTCTTCTTCGTGTCTTGGTCTGTGCAGTTTTGTACCTGCACAGGTTGTAGTGCCTTCAGGCCTTCAGGTATAGTAATGCTGTAGTCCGCAAGCTTGTGTGCGTGATGCGTGACCTCTTCACCACAGCAGTTTTGCGGCTCAGAGAAAGAAGACGTTCGCACCTCCACCACAAGGCAGGGCGAGTACCGGAGCGGGTATTCTCGAGCTAGCAACGGTCGGCTTGAAATCCTGCAGACCTACAACTCAGCAGGTCACTCACCAAGCAGGCACCCGTGCGTACACCTGCTTGTTTCTGCTACTTGCACAAGCGTTGCAGTGCGAGTCAATTAGTTATGCGCGGAGGTGTCTTTGTACATCTATCCCTCTTGTGCTCTGTGGCCTGCGAAACAGGGATATTAATATAATGCTCAAGTGGTTATTTGCTCTGATCCGTTTCTGCAACCAGAGCATTGAAAGTGGCTGTCCAGGCAGGGTTTTTCATGTTTCTACAAGCTACTACAGCGCTCAAGCCCACCCACATGCAAACCATGCGTGGCTTCAGGATACTGTGTCAACCTGGACTTCCACAAATTCTCGGAAACAGACAACGGAATCCAGAATTCTGAGGATTTCAGGCCTCTGCAGGTATACATTTTCATTGAAATTATGCAGAGCTGGCCAGTGAATAGAGCCCGATAGCCCAGAACGCTTCATTAGATGCAACTTCTGGCAGGGCAGACGTCATGGAGCAATCCGAGGCCGCAGCCATTGATTGGATTTAGGATCGTAGCCCTTGCAGCCATTTCGGCAATGCTTAGCCTTTGAGGTTAAGAAAGAGTAATCAATGGTTCAGGGAAGTGGGTTCCGGATTTGTTGATGTAGGAATCTGGCGCAAGTTATTTTAGTTAGTTTGCAATCTTCGCAGCGGGGTCTAAGCCTCAGGTGAGGAAATGCAGCTGAATCTCAGATGAAATGTGTGTTCAATCAGAGGGGAAGAAATGCTTCATGGCAAAATTGACCGCAACAACAAAACCAGAATTTACCTAGGAATTAAAAGCCGAAGTGCAGCCTTCAAAAGTTTCTGGCATTCGGACCTTGACTTTTGGCAAGACCTGGGTCTTTAAAAGCGAGGCTTTCTCGTTTTTTGGTGGATTTAGGTTTAAACAATGAGCCACGGGCCCTCGAAGCTTGGCAAAAACCTAAGCACCACAATCAAACCCATACTATCCCAAACTCGAAATTCCTGAAGTCCGGGTTGCACCTCTGGGATAAAAGTCCTAGAGGGGAAAAAGCCCTATAAAGCCTTTGCACACATGGCAGACACTTTTCAACTTTTGTTCTCTGCACGTGCTATCCTGACATAAGTAAGGGGAGGCTAACTTTGTCTCTATCGTGCCACTTGCATCGATTGATCTCCGAAAGATCTCCTAGATGCTGAAATCTGAAGCCAGAAAAAACCAACGGGGCACGGGCCTTGAGGCCGTCATGGCGGCCCGCGCCAAACTTGCCCAGCGCTTCTTGTCTTCTGCGGGGCTGGCGCGGGTGCCGGGTTTCGTTCACCAAGGTTTTAAGAGAGACTGAGATCACGAGACAAGTGCTGCCTCATGTCGGAGCAAAGCCTTAAGTGACTCCCGAACGGGACTCACTTGCACAAATTATGTTTTAGGTAGCCCCATGTTTCAAGCCCGCGGCTTCACTTCCTTCGGTGTGAGGGCTGTAAAGCTTTCTGAAATCCGGCACCCTTTGATACCTTTTGTCCAACTCTAAATGGCGCCGGAGTCGCGACTTAGGCTTCGACGCCGTGCGCACCGGCGGCAAGGGCACTGCGCGGCGCAGCCCGACAGCAAGCGATGATCAAGGAAGTAGAGTCGGAACTTCCGAGCCCGGATGTGTATGCTTTGGGATTGAATGCCTGATGTTAAAATTAAGTGTTGCCATCTTGGAGATTCTAAATCCTGACTACCGTGCCCAGAAACGGTTCTTGAGACTGACCCGCCTTTTTCATCCCAGGCCGAAAGTTGGCAAAACATCAGACGAACACGGCGGATGAGAAGCAGCTGCAGGCCAGTAATTGCAGGATATGTGTTGTGGCACAAAGTTAAGAAGCTGAGGGCTTGGCTGCTATAGCGAAGATGCTTGATGAGTAAGAGACAAAGAAGTACGCACCTCATCGCATTTAACAGTATGTCTTATTTGGATGCAGGTTCCACAACATGTTACCTACACTTTCTGAATCCTGTACAAAACCTCCAAGAACCGTTTCAGGAGTTTGTAACCCATTACCGCATGGGTTCTGGACCGCCTCAAAATGTCGGCGCGAAAGTTCCGAACCCGGAATTTGGCCCTAAATGCTTCTAGCTCCTCAGCATTTTTTAACTATAAGGCTTGACCATGTGGCAGCAATGACAACGAAGTTAGCCAAGAGTCCCTGTTCGTAACAGCGTCAACCAACTCACCCGTCATTATCCCGTTCGACACCCCATCAGGTCCTTATGGGTCCTTCCAAGCGTGGGTTCAGACACGAATCGAACCCGAGACGAGCTGTTCCCGAGGCGCACCTCAAGCGACTGGGGCTCAACAGCATCCCAGGCCCAGATGAACTCATCAGCATTCAGGATTTCGGGTTACGGAGTCGGGGTCGGTACAGTTGGGGTTCACCTATTCTTTGTAGGACCCGATCCTGGGTCCTGGGTCCATCTCCTATTAATTTGGTTGGGCTGAGGGTTGTGGGCTTGTGGGGTTTGGGGTTTGGGGGTTCCAGGCGTAGACGAAACCCTCGGCCAACCTTAAGCCTTGAAGCCGCGACCCGAGAGGGAAACAAAAACTGAGAACCCTAGAGGTGCTTTTGGCTGTATCAACCGTCTTTCACAGCGTCTTGCTGTCCTGTCTGCAGGCCTTGCCTGGCTTTGTCCGAGTGCGAGCGTCAAAATATCGCCAAGCTTCAGAAGCTTCCCCGAACATGAAAGTGGCCCGCAGGCATCGAGGAGGTGAACATGTTCACGGAAGACGGGGGGGTTCTCCATTTCAACACCCCGAAGGTCCAGGCCGCCGTGGGCGCCAACACGTATGCTTCTTGGCGGGATTAAAGTAAAGGGTTTAGTAGGGCGTGTGTGAAAGGATTTCAGGGCTGAGTTTAAGTACGCCTTCTTCCATGTTGGCCTCAGGCTCGTCGGGGTTAGGGCTTCAAGCCGAGAGGATCTTAAGTTTAGGGCGTGAGATCATTGAAACCTGCGAAGACAGCCCCGAAATCGACACGGGGAGCCCTGGCCCTTTCACCCGAGGCCCTTGAGTAAAGGCGCAACTGAGCTTCAAGCAACATGCCCCCTAACTACTAACTCCAACCTAGGCCCAGAGTTTAGCGCCTCCTTGGTCCAGCATTTGAGGTCATCACCGGCCAGCCGGAAAACAAGCGACTGGAGGAGCTCCTTCCGGGGATTATCCATCAGCTCCCCGGAGGCGAAATTTGAGTTCCGGGATGGGTTCAGTTGATGCAGCTGATGTGTGTTGACTACCTGTTGTTTGCACTTGCACTTCTCTTCACCTTGTCAGAGTGTTGCAATCCTTGCCTGGACATGTCCTAGGTTGAACACCAAAAATCTCAACAATGGGGCATGCGCAGGCTTGGTTCGGAAAGCTAGTTCAACTACTAGTAGGACCTGCATGATGCACGGAGATCCGGAGACAAGCAGCCAAGGCTGGGTGCGGACAACTTGACCAACCTCCGACGAATTGCGGAAGGCTCCTCCAGAGATTTGGGTTGCAGCGTTGTCATTCTTAACGAGGTTGAGTTTGAGGTTGGGCTGTGGGTTAGCCCTGCAATTCTCTCCGGTGTGCGGAGCCGAATTCCACATTCATTCATCTTCTGGAGCTTGTGACTTCAACCTCTGCGTCTGTTGAAGCTGCCGGGCACTACACCCGATCAACGTCTCAGTGGTATCCCCGAAAAGGATTTGGGGTCTGATGTCCGCCGTTGCTGCTCTGCTTTGGGTTCTGCAAGAGTTGCAGCAGAATGGCTTTCCCGCCAGCATCTTTGGCCGGGCATTCAAACGCGATTTCATGCCTCAGCCCAGCTTCCGAGGCTCTTAAGCCCGAGTGTGAGCACCGAGACACGACAAAAGCTTCTCAATTCCAAACAAACTCAGGACGACCCCAGCCCAGAGATGCCCCGAATCCCCGCCTAACAGAGGCTTCCGAGCCGCGCCGGCTGCGGAGACGGGAGGCTGAAGCAGGGTTAGCAAAAGGAAGTAGAGAGTGTGTGTGTGTGTAAGTGTGTAAGTAAGGGTGTGTAAGTAAGGGTGTGTGTGTGTGTGTAAATGTAAGTGTAAATGTAAGTGTAAGTGTGTGTACTCCCTTTCGTACTTACTATATGGTGTTCTCTCACCTCCCCTTGTCCGATGAAAATTGTGAGTACCACGGAGACCAGGCGCCTGCGATCATGCAGAAATGCACTGGTCCCCGATGGTTTATGGGTACCCCTTCCTCGGCAGGGCAAATGAGTTTCTTTACGCTATTGCAATCTCCCTTATCCCCCTGTCGATGCCCCCTGTCGATGGTTACATGCAGCGACCTGAACAGGCGATGACATCCCAGACATCGGTGGCCTGCCCAGACGTCGTAACAAAGGAGTGGGGTGTACAGGGTCTCGGGGTTGCAGACAGAAGGCTCCAAGCAAGCAGCAATTGCCCTGCAGAGAGCCGCAGATGGGACCACGGACTGCCAAAGCAGACCAGCTCGAGCTCACTTGGATTCGTTTGAGCCGTGACTGCTGGAAACCCATCCTAAGCTCCCCATTGCAACTCCAACCCCAAGTCACGAGTTTTCAGCCCCATAGTCGTAGACCTGTTTTGTTGCCAGGTGAAAATTTTGAGGAGGTCAGCAAGCAGTGAGTGCCAGAGATTGCGTATATTCGCCTGTTGTAGCTGATAAAGACGACGGTCGGCTGCGGCAAAGATCGGCGGTGACGGGTGGTGGGTTTCCTGGGGTTGCTAGAGGGTTCGCAGCCTTTGGGTTCCCAACTCGGCTGGTAGTCGATGCAGCTTGTAGGCTCACAGACGATGCGCAAGCACAGCATGCAGACACGAGGGCTAGTGCAGATGTTTTCGACTGCGCAGAAGCTTGTGTTCTGTTTGCCCTTGCAGTTCACAACGGTGACAAGATTTGGCAGGTCACGTTTCGGGAAGATCCGTTGGATAGTAGTAGAATTTAGTAGAATGAACGACAGCTCATTGCCCCTATCTGCAGCATGTTTGCTTCGGGGCTTTCTCCAGGTAATTATATGCTTGGCACGTACGGTAAGGATTTGCAGACACCAGCTTATGGCGCTTTAGGCTTTAGGTTCGGTTTTAGATCTTGGACCATGGGCGTTGTGTTTCGGCCCCAGCATCTGAAATGCCGGGAACCAGCAGCAGTATATTTTGTGTGGTGGTGGTGCACTCAAGGGAGACTTCACACATCAGCTCGCTTCAAATTCGCCCAGGCTGTCCTTGGTGCAAGGCACGACAAGCTTGGCAGGCCTGATCGGGGCGTGGGATCAGCGGTGGGGACGAAATCTGTGTTTTCACACTGGGGCACCCGGCGCATTAGGCATTAAGTGCTGACTTCACAGGGTCACATCAGCATCTGGCCAGATGTACAACATGGCACGTCCTCTATATACTCTAGATCGTACCCTGCTTTCGCAGATTATCTCCCAGTTTGCCCCAATCTGCGAACACCGCTCTCCTGTCTGTATGGTCTTTGCTATCCTTTGTCCTTTGTCTTGATGACGTTTGTTCCGTGCTATTACCGCCATCTTTGTTATGATAACGATGAAGTGCAGTAGCGCAGCAGGCAGCTTGCTTGGACTGTCCACAGTCCTTTTCGGCCTGCACTCAGTTTGCGCAGGCCAGCGGTGCAGACACTTCGGACTTATGAGTTAGCTCAAGATCCAAGACTCATGCTGTTGGATCCGGACACTTCGATCTGAAATTTGTGGCTTCAGGAGTTTAGTCTGCAAGCGCAGGCAGAACGGAGGGAGAGGGACAGAGAGAGAGAGAGAGAGAGAGAGAGAGAGAGAGAGCGAGAGGAGCGAGAGAACTGAAATCCTGGTCGGAGTCCATCAACTGCCATCAAGGGCCCTAATTACAGCCCCGGCTCGAACCAGCCCCTGCTGCTTGATCCTAGGCATGTCCTTTGACCGTCATGCTTGGCTCCCTGGCCCATTCGGTTTGGTTCGGCCTTAGCTGTTAGCCTTACTACTTTGCCTCAGTCGAAAATTTATATTGAAAATGCAGCAAGCAAGTCCTCAACCCTTGTACCCTTCCCAAAGTCACCATTCTGGTGAGATTCGTGTGCCTTAAGACCTCAACTCCCCAACAACCAGCTCCACCCGCGCCACACCCGAAACCCTTGAAGCAAGCAGCCAAAGGGCACTTGAAGCAGAACAGCTCCGAAGCCACAGAGACCTCACATCCCCGAGCCCAACTAACATTTAAAACGTACCTTCGAGGTCGAAGGCTGCAACTCGAGTCCGAATGGGCTTCATCACCTTCAGACACGCTTTTGCCACGAGCAGCCCTACCTTCCCTACCCCTACCTTCCCAAAACCTCTTTTCGCCCTTTTTTTCCGATCATCGCAGGCTCGGCGCTCGCGGCCTCGCTCGGCCTCCGGGTGGCCGAGGAGCTTCAGGCGCCTTTGAAAGGGGGGGTCAAGGGGGGGGGCAGGGAGGGGTTTGGAGCTCAGAGGTTTGAGGAGAAGAACCCCAAGGGTTCTTGGTTTTTTTTTGAGTCTTGGGTTTTTTGGGATCTCAGAGATCTCTCTCAGACCTTTTCGTTTGTTGGTTTCGGGCCTTCGGCGATTTGGGATTTATTGTAAGGGGTTTTGGGCTAAGGTTGGGATGCAGGGAGTGGAGAAGGGTTCACAGAAGCGATGGGAGGGTCCTACAAGCCACAAAACTTATAGAACCCTCTGTAAAGCCAGGAGAAAGTTCTCAGACTCTCGGCAGAATTCCTTGGCCGTGGCCTTATTGGGAGTACCGGCTGCAACCTTCACGACCATGTCAGACGAATAGCAGTGAAGGCCTTCCACGGGGAGGGGATGCTCGGAGTGTACGTAGGTTTAGGGCTGCCTGGAGGGATGTTGCAGGTGAGGCCACTGCCTCACCAAAGTCACCGCAAAAGGCCCTGACCTTGGCTGCTTGTATGGTGACTGCCCCTGCTGCTGAGCTGCTACCGCCGCACTCGTGCTCGCCATATGAATGTAGAGCCCGTTCTCTCTGACAAGCTTTCGCCTACCTCACCCCAAAGTCCGGTTCAAATGATTTGGACCCTTACAGTACTCTTTTTCTAGGGTTTCAGAGCAGCTCAAGAGGTGGCATCCCTTGTGCTGCTGGCCCCGGTGGCCTTGCTGCTCTGGATAGTCTCCTTGCAGCCCTAGCCTTGGTGGCTAGAAGTGCGTGTTTGGGGGCTTAGGGATTTCGGCGGTTTAGGGTTTTGAGCTTCAGGCGGTGAAAAGGTCCCCTGAAACAGGTAATATTACTAGTCAACCCATTAGAGGATTATTCCTATACTTCCCCCTACATCTCAACAACTATATCACCACTACGTCCCCATTAAAAATACAAGTATAGGAATAACCAATTACCTCATCTATATAAGAGTATATCACCACTACTTCCCCATTACCCAGACCAGCATAGTATAGGAATAGCCAATTACCCCATCCTCATTCCAAGTATTTTTACTTCAATCTGAGCAAAGGTTCCCTCATCGATTTTATTTGGTTTAGGGTTAAAGGTTTGTAGGACATGAGGTAGTGAAACCCGACATGATGCACCGAAGACTAGTGGCATCATTGCACTTTATGAGAGCTCTCTTATATGTAAGTCAGCTCTTCCTGCAGACCATCGTCTTCTAGATGAAGTTTTCCTTTCTCATCATCAGCGTGTCGTTCTAAAAAATCCTAGGAACTGAATTCAGCTGTTCCAACACTCAATAGGCTGGGACGGTGGCGCTGTCTGCGATTGTGGAACGGACGTGGGGTGTTTGGGAGCTTCATTGGTCTCGGGTGTCTCCGGCCCCAGTAGCCCCGCACTGTGCGCAGCCGCAACCCTGCCACACCGTATCTTCAAGCCTCGCTACACTGCTACACCTTGTCGAAAAGGGCATCTGGTTCTTTGCAGAGCTCCCCCCATGTTTACGTCGGGTCTGCCAGGCCACCCACATATAGTTTGGTTTTTTCTCCAGGTTCCCAAGTTTCCGCGATGAGCTGTGAGGTGCTATGTGGCTTTGCGGGTCGTGGCGACCCAGCCGGGCACCTGTCTCTAGTTGATACCTGGGATATTCACTTTGGGGAAGCATGATGTACAGAGAGCTCGCGATGGCATGGCGGTTCAGCATTTTAGAACTGACGCAGTACGGCGTGATTCAGATTTTCGATTCAATAGACATCGAAAGACGACAGGCCAGAAAAGAAAAAGGAAGGATAAATCCAGAAGTCGTGATCTCAATGCCCTGCAAAATATTTACACATCCATGCTAGTCCTTCTCAGTCTGTGTTCTGGGTCCCGATGCTATTCCCGGCTTTTGTCGCTGCTGTGTTGGTCGGTTTGTTGTTGCTGTTGCTGCCGTTGCTGCCGCTGCTGCCGCTGCCGCTGCTGCCGCTGCTCTTGCTGCTCTTGCTGCTGTTG